GAGGGCCCTATAGTGTCACTGTTACTCAGAATCTACTCATAGACAGTGAGTTTTTGAGTGAGAAAAGATACTGGAAAAGGTCACTATCATCAACCAAAACGAGACCAATTGTAGAATGGATCGCTCATTGCACATATGAAATTTCAGGTCGAAACTAAAAAACAAGAAGTAAAACAAGTTCACAACGGTAAAAACAGCAAAAAAAACACACCTGTAGTATTAGCTTACCTGAATTTAGAGGCCATCTCAATAAAATACCTGATGCACTGAACTAATGACTACAGATCAAAGGACTTATAAGAGCTTATTAAGAACATCATTAAAAAACAAGGCTCCAGGAATTGACAGAATTTGTCAATGCTTCATCAAATTGATGCAGCACTGGAAACACTCAATAGTTTATGCCAAGAAATCATCCATAAAATTCATAATTGCGCCCATTCCAAAGAAAGGTGAGCCAACAGAAATGGGAAATTATCAAATAATATCATGAATGACATAAAAATACAATTCTGCTAAAGAGAATTCAAAAATGGTTATACCAGTACTTCAAAAGGGAGTACTAGAAACGCAGACCAAATTCAGAAGAGGACATGGAAGGACAGCATGATATTGCTGACATGAGGAAGAATCCTGGCTGAAAGCAGAGAATACCCAAAAAATGTTTATTTGTGTTTTATTGAGTATTCAAACGCATTTGACTGGGGATCTTAAATTATGGATAACATTACAAAGGAGAGGAACTCCAGAACATGTAGCTATGCTCATGTGGATCTTATACATAGCCAAGAAGCAGCTGTTCAAACAGAAAAATGCTAGGTGGTTTAAAACCAAGAGCTATATTATATGAAGAACAACACAGCATCAGGATTGGAGGAAGGCTTATTTAACAACCTGCAATATGCAAATGACAAAACCTTGCTTCATGCAAGCTACAAAGATATGAGGCATTTGTTCTAAGATCTAAGACTACAGTATGAATTAAAACTCAATACAAAGAAAACCAAAAACATTAGAAATGGAACGATAGACAATATTGTGATAAACAGAGAAAAGACAGAATTAAAGATTCATTCTACTTGGGTTCCAACAATGTAATTAGGAGGCATAGGTTACTATAGACGAGGAGTCCTCAAACTTTTTAAACAGGGGACCAGTTCACTATCCTTCAGACCGTTGGAAGGCCGGACTATAGTTTAAAAAAAATTATGAACAAATTCCTAGGCCCACTGCACATATCTTATTTTGAAGTAAAAAAACAAAATGGGCAAAAACACCTGGCAGGCCAGATAAATGTCCTAGGCAGGCCACATGTGGCCCGTGGACTGTAGTTTGAGGACCCCTGCTATAGACACAAGGAATCCATGTCTTATCTACTTAGTTATAAAGCTTAATGAGTAATAAAAGAGGTAAAACTCAAATTCAGGACTTCAGATTCTCAAATATGTTCTTTTCTTTATATTATGCCTCAAATTTTAGTATTTCATTTTATACTCGCATTATCTATTTCTCCAATTGAATAATATGAGCATTAGAATCCAATGGTTCTAAAGCTTTTCAGGGTTCATAAGCCCTTTTAAAAAATGAAATCTATGGCAACACTCAAATAGAAGGGGAAAAAAACCATCCGAGGCAATTTTGCATGTATTTTCAAGGTTTTGCATGTCCCTGGATAAGAACCATGTAAAAGATTGTAAACTAAAGGACTGAGGTGATAACTTAACCTCTTTTCATATATCTCACGGTACAAAGGATTAAGGTAAGCATGACATGAAGATTAAAGATGCATTTCAATTACTGTAATCAGATCTAATTTCCTGGATATAGTTATTGAAACTGGCCTTGGGCAATCTATTAAAATGCTTATTTTAGTAGTAATAAAAAAGCCAAGGAAGACAAAAAAAATTAAAAATCATTCATAAAGTCCAAAGAAACAGCAATTATTTAGCTTAATTGTACGCTTGCAGCTTTATTTCATATCATTTTTTTTTGGCTTGAAGTATACCAAAGTTCTAAGGGAAAAGACAAATCAACAATTTAAACTAAAGTCAACTGAAGACTGAATAAACCTGGCTTTTCGTATAGTTACCCATATGTTTTGTTTGAATGGAAGGGGCGAGGAGACATAAAGGAAAAGAGAAAATGTTTAGGAGATCAAACAGAGAGAGAGAGCACTGCAACAAACCAAAAGGAGGATGAGGACACAAACACATACTGCTTCGTGGTTCCATGGCTGACAGGGAATAAGAAAAGAGCATCAGACGGTTAAGAACAATCTGATTATAATTTCAACTCTGCTAACTTAGTTAATAATCTTGGACTAATCATTTAATTTTTCTGGACCTTAACTTTCTCATCTATGAAAATTACGGGGTTTTTGTGGCATACAAAGTTAAAATCTAAATTCCTTTACAACTTACACTGTCACCAGCATTACTTTCACTCCATTGAGCAAGGAGTTCATTTGCTTTGGTTTTCCCAGTACCTGCTGGTACAGTGTAGGTATAGAATGTTGTGGAATGAATCAATGAGTTTGAACCTGATAATGACCCTCTGGGCACACTGAACAGAACAGGTGTTGCTGTTTTTACAAAATAAAACACAAGGTTCAAGCTCTCACAGGCAAGTGGTGGAGTCAAGATGCATACTCAAGTCTTCCAGGTATCTTTAGAACTATAAAACATGTCATATTTTAATACACTCTTAATAGATACAAGAATAACAAAACTCCTACTACCACCCTATCAAAGAAAAAAAATCATCAGAAAAGAACTGCTACAGAAAGCTGTTAGTGACTGATTATTTGAAAGTCATAGGAAATATAATTTCAATAGTTTTGCATATGAAATAGAAGAAATAAAATCCGATTTCTTACTTTATTATATCAATCATATTTCCTGTGTTCTAAAGAGTTAGTCCATATCAATAATTATAGCTGGCTAGTTAGTAAATGATTGCTGCTTAATAAGAGTTCATATTTATCTCTAAAACTAAGATTATTGTTCAAACCACAAAAGCCTTACTGAAGGGCTACTCAATGGTCTGATGTTGAGGAACTAAGCCTTTCTAATCTAAAGATTTGTGATCCACTGAGTTATAGAGAAATGCAATGAGATTCTTTGTTCAAGAACAACAACAAAAAAAAGTGGTCAAAATCCTAGGGCAAATTTTTATTCTCTGAAGACTCTTAAAAAATTATAAACGTTAGTTTGTTTTTGGTTTGGAAGTGGAGATTGGGGAGAAGGAAGCTAGCGACCAACACTTTTAGATTTGATAGTATAACTCATGACCTGTCAAATAGCCTCTTGCCTTAAGGTTATACAGACTAATAAGGCATTTTTGTGTATGGTGGGGAGCACGTCCTTTTAACCACAAAAAAATTTATAAACTCATCAAATTTGAAATCCTTTCTTTGAAATCATAAATTTCTAGAGAACAATTTTTGTTTCATATAATGTTGCTATATAATACAAAATGAGGCTTTTACAAATAAAAATGAAAATAAACCTCAATTAAATAGATGCAATGCCAAAAATAAAACCAAAACTAAAATGACTTAAGTGCAATCACAAAGCCTAAAATATTTTATATGAAAAATAGTACATAGTAGATTTCGCAAGATAAAAATTTCCCTATATTTCATAGGAGAAAGATATACAAAACAAATGTGTGCACAAGCAAATGTGGTGAAGAAAGCTGATGGTGCCTGGCTATTAAAAGATATAGCATCTGGAGTCTTAAAGGCTTGAAGGTAAACAAGCAGCCATCTAGCTCAGAAGCAACAAAGCCCACATGGAAGAAGCACACGAGCCTTTGTGACCACGAGGTGTTGAAGGGATCAGGTATCAGGCATCATCAGAACAAAAAAATCTTATCATTGTGAAGGAGGGTGAGTGCAGAGTGGAGACCCAAAGCCCATCTGTAGGCAACTGGACATCCCCTTACAGAAGGGTGCAGGGAGGAGATGAGCCAGTCAAGGTGCAGAGTAGCAATGATGAAACATACAACTTTCCTCCAGTTCTTTAATGCTTACTCCCCTCCACTATCATGATCCAAATTCTACCTTACAAATCTGGCTAGACGAGAGGATACACACTGGTACTGATAAGAACTGGAGACACAGGGAATTCAGGACCAATAATGAGAGTAGGATTACCAGGAGGGGAAGGGGAAGGTGGGGGAGAGAGGGGAACCGATCACAATGATTTACATATGACCTCCTCCCTGGGGGATGGACAACAGAAATGTGGGAGAAGGGAGACGTCGTACAGTGTAAGATATGACAAAATAATAATTATTTTATAAATTATCAAGGGTTCATGAGGGAAGGGGGAGCGGGCATGGAGGGGGGGAAATGGGGAGCTGATATCAGGGCTCATGTAGAAAGCAAATGTTTTGAGAATGATGATGGCAACAAATGTACAAATATGCTTTATGCAATGGATGTATGTATGGATTGTGATAAGAGTTTTTAAGAGCCCCCGATAAAGTTATTTTTAAAAATTCAATTGAAATATATACGTAACTTCTAAAATAAAAAATGTATGCAAATAAACTGAATATTCTCCACTGAATTTCTATTAGCTACAAGCCAAAGGTGAGAGAACAATTATATTGAAACTACACTGGGAAGAGCAAGTAATACTAAAACCAATTTGTACAGTTCTTAAAGAAGAGTATCTGAAGTAAGAGGAAAAAAAGTTAGGGGAACAATACTTTGAAAAGTCACCTAATTTAACCTAAAAGAAGAAATTGGCATACAGACTGAGTGAGCAGGGCTTAATCAAAATAAACGTTCTATAAAAATCACAAGTCTGGGGTATTTTAAAGTGTTGAGGAGGCCTTGGTTCTATAATCTGGGGATTACGCCATAATAACAATTCACTATTCTACTTTTGAAACTTTTAGTAAACAGCCCCCCTCCCATTTAAGTCATTTTCTTTATTAGTGCAAACCACTTATATAAATATTTCTGCATAAATACAGTGCAATAATCTTACCTAGTAGCAAACTGAATGAGTGCATTTTGAAGAGTCTGCCTAATTTCAAGAAGAAAAGATTCATCATCACTTAATGTATAATACCAATACTGGACATAATCCCTCAAGGAAAACTGGATAACCTAAAACAAAAATAGTGGGGGAAGATAAATACAACTTTTTAGCATTTAAAAGGAAAATTTGGCAAAATTAAACCAAAGAGGATTATCTCCCAATTTATATTTAACCTCTACTTACCAAGTCATGGTGCTAAATAGCTGCCTTGACTATAAAAGTATCAACATAAACATCATTTCATAAATTTTAGAAATTAATATGGTGTCAACTCATCCACTGATCTTTTTTTTTTAATTAAAGTATTATTGATGACCAAACTCCATTCAAATCCAGGGAAAGATAGAGATAGTAGAAAGAAAGAAATTTTTAATACTATAATAAAGAGTTTGACTCAGAATGATGGAATAAGATGTAAAAGAATGCTAATGGATCCGAATTCCCCCAAAAAAAGCGTTTTCTTAAGATATTATCAGATTCGTCACAGTTTAATTGTAAAAAGGTCTGAGGAGTTCACTAAATTCTACTGATGCCGTTGATACTGCCAACAGTATTCAGTTAATAAATACCAAATAATATAATTCAATGATGATTTTTATAATCTGATCAACTAAATATAGAATAATCTATGAAATATTAGAACTAGAAGTACACATTATTTACAACAAATAATATAATCAAATAAATATAAAATATTTGGGGATAGGTATAATTTTCTTACCTAATTTAACCTTCTTAGTATTTTATTTTATTTTTTTACTTTCTTAGTATTTTAGATGAAACTAGGTACTTCCATTTTTAAAAATAAAAAAAGTAGAAAGTAACATCTGATTTACCAAAGTACTAAGCCTATTCATGAGCTAAAAACTAATGCTTTAACAATACATTACTAGCAATATTATTAAATATGTTTTTTAAATTTTTTGGTGTTACAATGAAATTCCAGTATATATTTTAAAATAAGTAGTTCTTAGCATTTTCAAAAGAAATACATCTGATATACAAGATATGGAATCCAAATACCACATACTTACTTGCTGGAGTGGTTCATCGATTATGTTGGCACCTGTCAATCTTCTATCAATCTTAATTGTCCTGGCTTCTCGTCTCATTTCTTCTAAACACTTAAAAGAAACCATAACATTTTACTTGATTTAAAATATCCCTACTTTATGTCTCATCAAATACTCATTGTAATATCTCAGTTATCATTCTCAATAATAACCTTATATCTTGAGACTCCAATAAAGCAAAACACTAATTTTCAAATTAGCAAAACCAGACACCTGGAAGGGTGACTGGATGAACAGCTACTGAAGCGCTAATAAAATCAGCAAGTATTTAGAATGTGAGAAAATTGAAAACATTTACGTATAAATGACTATACCTCAATTAAACTTTAAAAGTGTAAGTTGATGTTTTATTTGAGTCAAATTAATCATTGCCGTTCTTGAGTACTCCCGTCTCTACTCTCCAAATACTCACACCCAGTCCAAAAGAGTACCATTAACTACCAAACTAATAAATTCCACTAATTTAATTTAAGGATGATTTATGCTAAGTAGAGAAATTTGCCCTCTCTATTTATCCCCCATCTTCCATTAAATCATCCAAGAGGTCTGGGAGTAGGGAAAAGGCACATACAGACTATACAAATCAAATTGTACACACACATGGTTCAAGTCATAATATTATAACCACAACTATTCTTTTTTCATGCTTTTATCAATGGTGAATTAAAAATAAATAAAACTTCTCTTTTTTTACATTTCTATAAAAATGAATTATAAAAACTTAAATAGTCTTGACTGATTTACTACTGTTTAAACATTAATTCCTACATGTTTCCCATTCACTCTATGTTCTACTCAAATGAATAAAAACAATGGGTGGATAAGAAATAGTTTTAAAAAGAAATGGTTCATTTTCTCAGACAGACTTTTGAACATAGTAAAAAATACTTATTAACAGGAGCTCTAAAGAAACAGAGAAAAAAATTCAGAGATTAAGAAAAAAAGTTGTAAGTATTAGGGGAAAATAGCTTATTTATCAATAAAGATTATGGCAGGGGTCCTCAAACTTTTAAAACAGAGGGCCAGTTAGTTCACTGTCCCTCAGACCCGTTGGGAGGGCCAGACTATAGTTAAAAAAAAAAAAACTATGAAAAAATTTCTATGCACACTGCACTTATCTTATTTTGAAGTAAAAAATAAAATGGGGCAAAGACACCCGGTAGGCTGGATAAATGTCCTAGGCAGGCCGCATGTGGCTCACGGGGCCATCGTTTGAGGACGCCTGAATTATGGTATCAACTCTAGGCCAGCTATCTCTCTTTATACAAGATGAATTCACCTATCACAAGAACTGAAAGCATACAAAATGTGAAGTCTACTTATAAGCCACAATTCCAATTTAATTTATAGAGTAATGATATTGAATAAAGAGAAAAGAGGAAAAAGCACCACTTAAAATGATTTAAGAATTATTCCTGAATTATTAAAGTGATAGTTATTATATCACTTAATTACAAGGTATTTTTCTAGGTATTTTGATGAAAATTGTCAACTATTTTTGAGGAAAGTGTCAACTACAAAATATATTTCAGTAAAAATAAAATGCTCATTGACATTCCTACAGATGAAGCACAAGATATTTGGAATTTTTATGTTAAGATAGCAATAAAAGATCCCAAACTGAACTAACTGATTTGGGTATTTTCCCCAAATTTACTTTCTCACTGCTTATATACAACACTGATAGAATGTTTTACTTATCTCTTCTACTGCACTTTTTAAGACTTAACAGAAAGTAGATCAAATACTTAAAAAGTAACAATTAGTGAACTATAGGGAAATCTGCTATATTATATACAGATGATCACACTATAATCATTGCAAAGAATTTGATTGTGGAGTTTCACATTCTTTACCTTAGGAACCCCAGTTGATGTTGAAGGAAGAAATGAGTGCTCACACTGCTCTAGGTACTTCTCTGAATTTGTTTTTCCAAACAGGAGAATAACCACAAAACCTCTAAAAACAAAAGTGCAATTATAAACTTTTTTAAATGTTAGTTTTATGTAACACATTTATCATTAAGTACATCTTTCAGATTTCACAGATAGCTTAAAAGTGTGTGTGCGATACATGGTAAAAATATTTTGCTCTGAAGTTTAAGCCAACTATAAACATTAACGAATTTATACAATAATGTTTTTCAAAATGAGTCAGAATCATCTCAATGGCAGTTGGTTTGGGTTTGGTCCTTCAAAATTACAATGAACTATATTTCAAAAAAAAAAATCTCAGGCAACAATGGAAAACAAATTGAAAAAATAATCTCAGGTAACATTTTCACACTTCTGGAAAATGAGCATTCATTAAATAAGTAAGTTAGCTAATTAGCAAGGATAAAAACAAATGAGATATGTTATAGCTAAATAATATATTTCTGTACTTCTGTTAACTGATTTAATGTGATATTAATAAATTTAATTTGTGACTATTCATAATGAATAAACAAAGGCTATACAGAAAAAGTTATAATTTCCATAAATAAGCCTGGAAAAAAATGCAAATACATCCCCAAAGAGGGCTAATTTTAAAATAATAATAGAATAAGGGAAGATAAACACTGGTTTAGAAGTACTTTACTAAAAAAGATTAACCAAGTATTAGAATATTTTTATATTTAAAATTTTCCAACATTGGCATTTTCCAACATTTAAAGCCTCATCAAATAAAAAATGGCTCAACAATCAGAATAGTAAGTGAAGATCATGTCAATTCCATTTTTAAAAAAAAGAGGAATTAGTTCCCATAGGAGGGAAAAAGCACTAATTCTTCTCAAACTTGCATTTTAAGTAAGAAAAAAATGCATTTTTAAACTTATAAAATTTACCAAAAAACATACTAAACCTAAAATTCTTTAAATTATTATAAATTAAGCTTATTTTACTTAAAACTCAATTTTTGTTCTTTAAATTCACAAGACATTATAAAATTATAACAAAAAGGGATGATAATTCTCTGTAATAATAGCCAAAACAAGAAAATTTGACTTAAGAAATGACCACATACACACACACACACACACACACACACACACGAACACACACACACCACCGCCCAGAACCATTCTGGATAAGGTAGGAATACTTAAGTGGCCAATTTCCATGAGAGAAATTAGGAGGACACATGCTAGTATACATAATCAGAAATATCCTTATTAGGACAGTGAGTATCATGGAGATCAACACAGTACGGAATAGAACATATATTAGCTCATGTTACATACGATACACCAATGACCTTGGAATTTCAAATCTTAACATTACCTAGAGAGGCTTTTGGTGCCCTTTTCTATATCCTTCAATATTCAATCATACCCAAAATTTTTACAGAACTTTGCAAGTCTCCAAAAGATGCATTGCAATGTTCCTTGATAAAGTAGCAGGCAAAAAAGGAAACACAAAGGATTGTGAGACCTTGAAATGAATAATGAACTCATCAAGCACCTCTCGTTTCCAAATGTTACATCCTTCACCAAGGGCTCCTAGGGCTCGTGTGTGTGCCTAAGAAGCTGGAATCACTCACACACACACACACACACACGTTCCTAGGGCTCCTGTGTACGCCTAAAAAGCTGGAATCTCACTCACACACATTTTGAAGTACAGAGAAATACAAGTCCTTTGGAACTCCTTCCCTTACTCTAGTCAAGTGCTCCCAGAATTAGTAAAATTTGGGGGAAAACATTCCCTTTTAGACAAACTTCTCTTAGGAACAAATCATATCCTTTTCAATCAGTAAAAACAGCATTACCACTGTGTGGGAGAAGTGCACCAGTACAAACGTGGCAACCCATTCTGGCCTTCAAAGATGTAATAATCTCAGGTTTTCACACTTCCGGAAAATGAGCCTTCATTAAAGGCTCGAAGGTGTGGCTTAGGATTATGATCACCAAAAAAGCCTCATTGTCATTGACTTGATTCCGACTGATGGTGACCTGACTGGACAAGGGAGAAGTGCCCCTGTGGGTTTCTGTAATTGTTAACTGTTATAGAAGGAGAAAGCCACATCTTCCTTCCCAGGAATGGTGGGTTGGTTGATTCAAACTGCTGACCTATGGTCAGCAGCCCAATGTGCTGGCCTACTGTGCCAGCAGGGCTATGATACGAAGCAAAATCAGCAAACTCAATGTCATCAGGCGGATGCTGACTCACAGCGACCCTCTAAGGCAGGGTAGGTCTACCCTTGTAAATTTCCAAGACTGTAACTGTTTAGGGGAATAAAAAGTCCTATCTTTCTCCGGCAGAGCAGCTGATGGTTCAAACTGTGGAACTTGGAAATCAGAACCCAATTCCTAACCAACATGCATGAAGGACTCTTCGGATTAGGCGGGCATTAGGTTGCAAATCTGTGATAAGGTTTTTAATAATCTTTATTATCATAAAAGGTATTCTGAACTTCATGAATCTAACTGCTACAGTTTATCAAAAATTCAATATAATTTCAGTTTATGTATTTACCTTGAAAATCTCAAAAGTGTTTTTGTATTATCACAAAACTTTATACCTTTGAAAAACTGGTTTTATTTCCCCTTTTACCAACATTTCAGGTATAAAAAATTAACAAAAACCATCACTTAATTTCATGAATATCTCTATTTTACTTTTTTACTTGGTAAAACAAACTACCATATATACTCGTATATAAGTCAAGTTTTGTTTTGTTTTTTTATTTTAAAAGTCATTTTATTGGGGGCTCTTACAACTCTTAGAACAATCCATACATCTATTATATCAAGCATATTTGTACATATGTGCTACCATCATTTTCTAAGCATTTGTTTTCTTTTTCTTTTTAATTGTTTTATTAGGGGCTCATACAACTCTTATCACAATTCATACATACATCAATTGTGTAAAGCACATTTGTACACCCATTGCCCTCATCATTCTCAAAACATTTTCTCTCCACCGAAACCCCCCGCAACAAGGCCCCAATCTTCCCCCTCCCTCCCTGCTCCCACCTCCCGCATGAACACTTGATAATTTATAAATTACTATTTTGTCATATCTTGCCCTGTCCGACGTCTCCCTTCACCCACTTTTCTGTTGTCTGTCCCCCAGGGAGGAAGTCACATATAGTTCCTTGTAATCGGTCCCCTCTTTCCAACCCACTCTCCCTCTACCCTCCCAGTATCGCCACTCACACTACTGGTCCTGAAGGGCTCATCCGCCCTGGATTCCCTGTGTTTCCAGTTCCTATCTGTACCAGTGTACATCCTCCGGTCCAGCCAGACTTGCAAGGTAGAATTCGGATCATCATAGTGGGGTGGGGAGGAAGCATTTAGGAACCAGAGGAAAGTTGTATTTTTCATTGTTGCTACATCGCACCCTGACTGGCTCGTCTCCTCCCCGAGACCCCTCTGCAAGGGGATCTCCAGTGATAAGCCGAGTTTTTCAGCACATTTTTAATGCAGTTTTTGTGGTAAAATTAGGTGCATCGGCTGATATTCGGGTTGGCTTATACTCAAGTATATAAATTTGTTTCAATTTTGAATAACAGGACATGGCATTTGAATTTTAAAATTATAATAAAGTATACTTACCCACCCACAAAGCAGAGGATATAAAATGCAAAATAAAATATTACAAAAGGTCCAAAAGTGACTAGGAAAAGGACAACGCCAAGGCTTCCCCATCCCCATATGGAAAGACTGGCCTGAAATAAAGCAAAAAAATAAATACAAATATAAATAAATTGTTATTCATATGAACTAGAGAACAGAACTTCAAGTTATATTTTTAATTCCTCCTTTTGAACATGTATGCCTGCCAATATTTATTAAAATATATATTTTTGGAACTATTAAATTATATTCTTAGAGATTTAGATACAAGAAATGATATGTATACTTGTATAAAGATAGTTATAAAGCATTAACTTTGTTAAATCAATAAATAACTGGTTGCATAGTAAAGGTACAATAAGATGGAGATAGATCTACAAATTTTGAATTTGTAGCATGGTAAATTACAACCCAATATAAAAGCCATTTATACATATCATATATAAAAAGTCGTGTATAAAAGATGAACTGAAGTACAAAAAATATTTTAGAATTTTCCTTTAAAAACTAAGCTGTAACAGAGACATTGAAAAAATGAAAATAACGAGGAAAGAAATCCTTATTTTATTAAAAGTGATACTTCTATTTTATTCAAATTAGGTACAGAAACCCAAAATTATATTTGCACATGTTTCAACTTCCAGTTAGTTACCAAAATTTTCCATCAACAAACATATCCAAGAAATCTCTATTCTTTAAAATAAATACCTATCTCATACAGATATATACAGTTTTATCCAATAAAGAATTCCTGCTGTAAAGGTCAAACTGTACTTTAGTATTTAAGTCATTATGAATAGATAAATGTATCCAATTTAGCAAGTTACTACACATCCATTGGTCTTGCACTGAGAGGTATACAAAGGAAGTATTTATCCCACTCCTGCAGTCAAGGAACAGAGAAGCATGTCTTATAGGAATGAAACAATTAAACACTGAACCAAAAGAAAATAATAGAAAGCATTATTAGATGCTAAACTGAAAAAAAAGTTAATAGCCAAAGAAGCTACAGAATAGACAATAAGTGCTACAAATCATGAAAGAAAGAAGAGTTTTATTTATTCATTCACTCATCAGCCATTGACTGCTTCTTATATGCTAAGCACGGTGAACCGTGAAAGTGCTAGGGATAAAAAACAATAAAAACCTCACTGCTATCCAGTAGATTCTGACTCATAGCAACCATGTAGGATAGTATTAAAACTGTCCCTATGGATTTCCAAAACTAACACTATGGGAGTGGAAAGCACTGTCTTTCTCCCGGGGTGTAGTTGTTAGTTTCAAACCGCTAGCCTTGAGTCTCACAGTACAACATGTACCACTACGCCACTGGGGCAAAACATGTCCTTATGGACAAGGAAATTTCAAAAGTTGACAGGGAAATTACCTATCTTTAAAGTCCACCTTCCTATGAAATTTTCAACTCCCTGTAGTAGATCATCTTGTTTGAGGATAATAAAGCTCAACTATTATTGAGCTGGAGTGGGGTGAGGAGAAAATGGTAGCTGGCATCCAGTCAGCCCCTGACTCATGATCCCATCCACAACATAACAAAAGGCTACCTGCTCTTGGCCATCCACAGGTTATAGGTTCAACCATAATCATCCAAAAGTTTTTCACTGGCTGATTTTTCAGAAGTAGATTTCTAGAACTTTCTTCCTAGTCAGTCTTGTCTAGAAGCGATACTGAAGCCTGCTCATCATCAGGGGAACATGTGAACCCCAAGGACAAAGAGATGGTGGCAGGTTACACGAGATCTATTGGCCAGAAATCAAACCCTGGTCTCTAGTACAGAACACTAGAATTCCATCACTGAACCACCAACACTTCACATTAAAATAAGTAATTCTCCCCATTTTAATTTCCAGCTCTGACCCAAAATACCTTATTCATATAGTCAAAATCTAAAAAGCTCTGGAGACCAAAAATTGGCCAAAGCCCATACTTAACATACTACATAGCACAATTCATTTCCTTTCCCCAGAATAATTTAGGTAGTCAAGAAGGTAATGTATAGGAAAATGTTCAAAAAGTATATGCTCTGGTATGAATACTACTAGCAATCTAATTCACATTTACTATGTGTTAACTGTGTAACCACTATATGCCTTTCCTTCCTCAACTGTCTCTGGGGAATAATTAACTGATCAAGATCAATTTTAGCGTAATCCCTACTGTTATTCCTAGTTTAAAAAGAAAGGAACAAAGGTACAGAGGTTTTAAAAATTGTCCAAGGTCACACAGAGCAAGATTGGATCCTAGGCAAATTCCAACTCCTTAACCAACTTTTAAGCTTGCCAACTGACAACTGCCTAAAGTTAAGGACAATAAGAAAAATTCTAAAATTAAAAATGATTGCTTTCTACTATCAAAATATTTATCCGCTTAATATGTTCCTAAGAAACTGGTTAGAAAATGATTTGTGATAAACAAATGTAATAAATCGTTGGTCTAAGCATAAAGTACATAATCTTATTGTTTGAAAATCAGTTCATCTGGAATAGAAAGAGGAGTCAATGAACTACTGTTCCCAGACAGTTACTTGCATCAGTTTGGCCTTGAGCTCAAGGACACACACACAAATGAAGATTCTATTTTCCCAATAATTTTCTGTGAAACTTCTGAGATCATCTCTCAAGTCAATTTCAACTGTAGCAGACTGGGTAAGCAGTTCTGCTCATAATTGCACAGCTAATTAGAAGCAGCGCCAGGCCCAGACTACCCTGACTGCATGTGGAAAGTGGAGGCTAAGTGGAAACAGCTGTTTCAGATCAGATGGGAACAGACTGTGGGAGGACCCACAGTTAAGGACCTTGGACTTTGATGCGAGTCTCAAGTGCAAGTCAACCACTCTCATAGTTATTCACTTGGTACAGTTAAATACAGTATGATACAAGGCAGACAGCCAGAGAGGGCTGAGCGTCTTAAAACTGACACTCCTTCAGCGCTAACTTAGATCACAGATATGGAACACAAAATAACAAAAATAAGTAGCCATAAGAAAATGGCCTGTTTTCTCTCAACTTTTTACAGCTACAAGAACTAGAAATATCTTCACATAATAATTACAACTGACTATATGCTCATGACATGGGAATCTGTCTCATTTAACATTATAGTTCATTTAACCGGGGCCTAGTACATAGAAGCTGCTTGCTTGCATGGAACTAATTTACCAAATAGAGAAGTGAAATGAAGGGAAAGGAAGAAGAATGTGAAAAAGAAAACATCCCTGAGTTAAGATGATGCTACTTCACCTTATTTAATGCTAAGGCTTTAGGTAAAACTATACACTCCTACCAGCCTGCACCCCAAATTACCCAAGGGCTTGGCATTTTTCTCCAAAGGAACTGATGCTAGTCAACTTACCCTGACACCAATTCAAAGCATTTGCTTTCTTTCCAGGGAAGCTGCTACCTAGCAGTTAAACAAGGATTCAGTCGTGCAGCAGGTCAACTGACAATCCTAAACCCATTCTTAATTCTCCAGTGACAGGAAGATCCTCTTCCACTCATCTCTATTTAAGAGGCCTAGTTCATCATGGCAAGAATGATTATAAAGACTGGTGATAGTGTGCAAGTTTTCAATCCAGCTGTGTACCCAGGATGGATACAGGGTCTGTGAAAAGGGTGTATACTTGAATCAATCACTCTAGTTTCCAACCTCACCAACCTGCCAGTAGGCAAAATATGGTGGCCACTCAATACTTGGTGAGTTGCTACTCCCTCAACTTGGGGCATCTGTAAGTTATACAATAAAATGCATCGGCTAACACCCAAAGAAGGAGAAAAGGCACAAAACAACAACAGAAAAGCTACCTTATTTGTGTTTATAATCAAATTATATGAATTACAAAACACCTATACACAGTTTAATATAGTAACAGGTATGCAAATGATAATAGCTAGGTTAAGTAAACATGTCACTGTACCTTTTACAGTAATTTTGCAGGCATACCTATGCCATCATACATCAGTGAATTACAGACTCAAGCAAGTACATTATTGGGGGGGGGGACAAAAAAGACATGCATTTAGCCAATGTTTTCTTTTATACAAGAAAAGCAGTGAGTAAAATAGGGAAGTGACAGGAGAGCAGAGAACAACTCTCACCTAGTTTGTATGCAGTAGGCTTCCAAGCAAACATTCAAAATCACAATTTGTAAAACTACCAAGGTTTCCTGAATTTTTGACAAAAAGTCAAAGTAAATACACAAAGATGTGAAAAGTTAATCAATGGTGCTTTCTAAAAAGCTTATATGTTTATAACCAACTGCTGTTGCTACGTTTCAATGAAAATATATATCCTATCATCATAAAAGTAAAAAATATTAGGTTCCTTCAAAGCAGGAATTTTAACATTTGGAAAGCAAAACATACGAAGTGGTAACAAAACAAAAAATCTACTTTTTTCAAAGCTATGTATTTAAATTTTTTAACAAAACAACCTTATCACCTTCAAAGTATTCCCCATTACATTTATTTTTTTTTATTTTTATTTTTTCCCCATTACATTTAATACATTTGTCTAATCTGAGATTCCATTCTTGGAAATATTTTTAAACTCATCTGTCTGGATGGCTAACAGCACCTCCCTCGATTTTCCCTTCACCTCTTCTAGTCATCAAATCGCTGTCCTTTCATGTCCCTCTTCAATCACGGGGCAAAATAAGACGTCACACAGAGCACGATCAGATGAGTAAGGTGTGTAGGGGGAGAGGTATGCTGTTTGTTTGTTTGTTCATTTTGCCAAAAACTGGCACACCTAGATGGCTGCCTGAGCAGGTGAATTGGCATGGTAACAGAACGAGTCCCCTGTCTGCCACAAATCAGGCCTCCTTTGTTAAAAAAAAAAAAAAAAA